TTGGCATATAAATCATTGCATTATACATAGTACCATAAAGTCTCTTATTGTGCTTACCAGCAACAACATATCCCTAAGGTCACTAATGACTAATCGTAGGTAGGGAGTGTTTTAAAAACTTGCTGAGACAGGGTCACTCGATAGCACTTGTAAAACACCAGATCATAAACTGTGTGTCATGCTGTTACATTCTTCCACCAGTAGAACCCAACTTAATACCATAATTAAAATTTTTAAGCAGAGAAAACTTAGTTTCAATTCAACTAACAACCTCACTGAGTTCATCTTTCTGAAAGCTAAGAAGAGCACTTGTTACACGCTGAACTTAAATATGTACAGAGATATAAGATACTCTGGGGCATTCTGAACTGATTATCAGTTTAACACTTTATTTCTATGAGTGTCAGTGCTTCTGTGTATGTGTATGTGAGTATACAGCTGAGAAAGTATGGTGATCTTGTAACTTGGTCCCAAAATAAACTGTAATAAGTTGCAGCGCCAGGCACAACGGTCTTGGTCTTCAGCTACAGTCGTTCCAGACAGGGAATATGTGGGGTTACATATAAAACAGCCTCAGGATTGGACCCTTTCTTAAAGGTGCTGATAAAATCTGTACTAAGGGCATGATGTGACTGTAGCAAAAAAAAAAAGAATCACAGGAGTCTGAAAGTGGGTCAGAAAATCTTCAGTGGAAAAGAGTGTTTTTCTACTTATTCAATTAAGTACATACATAAACACATATTGTTCTGTTGACTTCACTCTAAATTTTGAATGTAAACAAAAGCAGGCTAGTTCTGAACTATTAGGACTAAATAACCAGTTGCCTTCCTTGACAAAAGAATGGAAGTGATATTTTGCCTCTGGCTCCTCTGAGATATTTTATAAGGGTTTTTCTACACCAGTCAAAACTCAGCACACTTACTGTGCATACAAAACTGCCTAAATAGCTCTTGCAGTCGACTCAATTATGAGAAATCATTAACAATGTGTAAAACATTTAAAATCTAGCTTTTCCACTTCTGAAGTAACAGTACAGGTTATATAACCTAGCACAAAAGATTTTTTTCATAAAAGAAAGAAAAAACAAGGAACTTTAAATACAAAACAGCCCATATTTAAAGATCCATCAAAGCCGTGTCAGAAGTGACAAAAGATAAGAAAACAGAATGACAATGACATTCTGATCTTAATTCACATCATTTAAAAGTGGCAAGTTATGGCACACTTCCTGTTAAACTTTGGAGTCTCATGGATCTTGACAGAATGCTGCAAAACAGTACAAAAATAGACATTGATTAGTTACATAAAGAGTTAAGTATATGGATATATATGTCTTGTTAAAGCTTTGTAAATCAAGCTCTGCTTTACTTTTAGCTACACAAATTCACTTAAGACCAATGGGCAAGCAAGACCAAACACTGGTGAAGCTTCAATCAACATTGCTGGTAAACTGAGCAGTGCAAGAAGACCAGAGATTGCTTTGACCAAAAAGCTGTACACTTTTGCCTTTAGGTATGGAGCTCTGTACCTAGTGCCAAACTCATGCAGGGCAGCAGGGAACAATGAAGCCTACTGTTACTTTCAGAATTCAATTTCCTCAGATATATGATTTATTTTATAACTGGACTTATCCTTCTCCACTTTGTGGATTTGATAGTGATATCCACTGTGAACACCTATCAGGTTTCTAAAGATGCTTGCAACTCTGCAGAGTGAATTTTTCTGTTCTGTTCCTGGACATCTTTCACACTGTCAGTGACAGCCACTTAAGAATTTCTAGATTTGGCAGCCATACTTCTGAATGTCAAGACCTGGTCCAGGTATATGGAGATTGTCCTCTATTTCAGAGGAGTTGGAAGTCCTCCTCTGTTTAGCGAAAAGTGCTCATGATTGATTCTTTAAAAGCACTTTTAGTGCTTGAAGATTTAGATATGTGAGAAGCAGCATTTTCATAATTAGGCAGGTGTTCTATCATGAAATCTTTAAACAATATTTAGAGGTCCAAATCCCTATGGAAATCTGATTATGACCTTGGTAAATATAAAAATTAGAGCAGAAACTGCACATGCAAGTAGACTGGGGGCGGAGTACTGCAATACGTAACATGTAGATATTTTTGGTGGCATAAAAACAGAAGGTGAAAGGGATGGACATATTTTGGCCCATTTTGCACTTGTCATTTGCACTTGGAAAATCTTTTTTCAAAAGGATTAAGAATCTGTTGTGACAAACTGCTCCAGATGCTAGTGATCATAGCACTCACCACAGAGGAACAGATTTTGGTTACAGACTCCAGAAAAAGGTGGATTTTCTACTGTGTGCCTCTTGCATCTGAGTCCTAGGCAGCAGCAGAAGGTGGATGCCACCTTCATCATCACCACAACTGTTCCACTGAATCAGTCCTTGAAGGTCACTTTGCAAGGCAAAACCTCAATGGTAAAACTTTGGTGTCATGTCCTATCAAGGCTTCAAGGTGCTCAGTAGCTGCAGGCCTTAGCAGAGATTTGTAGGCAGTAAAGAGATCTGTAGGCTGTAAAGAGAATTTACAACCAAACCTCTAAGCATCCATAATTTAGCCACCATCATTAGGGTATTAATTGCTGAGTGTATGTTTTGAGACTATAGATTTGGTATACAAGCATCAAAAATGACATGACTAAACCATATCTATTTTGCATGCAGGTTTAAACTGCAACTCATCAGGAATACAAACTGCTTGAAGGCACATCTAAGCATGACAGACACAGAGAAGAAAAGAAACCAAATAATATATGAGCCTCTCCCTCATGTATACATCACTGCACAGCACTGTCTAGAGCAGGGCTCTGCAGAAAAATTGTTCTGGGGTTTTTTTAGGACACAGCACTACTACGTGCAAAATCATTCCTCTTTTCGGGAGAGTGTGTGTAGAATCAGGTGTTCACGTTCCAGCTCTTCAGTGACAGTCCTGAAAAAAGCATGTGACGCTCAGGACTGGGAAAACACTTCCTGACGCCTGCTCCCCAGCCCGTAAAACGCAGCGGCCGCGGCTGCTGCAGCGAGATGAAGCCGCAGTTTCTGACCTATCCTCCCCACAGGTCGCTTCCAGGTGTGTTTACTGTACGTTCCAAAACGTGCAGTACGCAGAGGGCGCAGCCGCCCTGTGAAGCCGCGACAAAACGCCCCGTCGAACACAAACGTGGCATTACAACAGAGCATTTAACGACCGGGTCTTGAATTGTTCCTCTGGCGAGTGTAGAACACCCTGGCCCCGACACCGCTTCTTCTTCTTCTTCTTCTTCGAGTAAAGGCGGAGCTACTTCAGTAAAGCCGAAAAAAGAAAAAAAAAATCAACAAAACTTAAATCACGTCGCATTCGGCGACTGCAGCAGGGCAGCGGGAGCTGAGGGAGCCATCGACGGCGCGGCTGCCCCGGCGGCACCTCCGTGGCCCCTCCCGGGCGCCGGGAGAGGCCCGGCCCGGCCCGGCCCGGCTCGGCCCGGCGAGCCCAGGGCAGGCGGGAGCGCCCCGCCCTCGCGGGCGGCGCAGGGGCAATTTCCCTGCCCGTCCGCGGGGGCACCGGCGACGCCGCACCCGCCTTTTGCAGGCGACGTTGCCCCTCATTAGCGCCCGTCCCCGGCAGTGTCCGGGGCGGGGGCGATGCGGAGCCCCGTGCCGCCCCCCGCTCCCGCCGCGCCACCGCCCCGCGCGGAGGAGGAGGAGGCAGCGGCGGCGGCGGCGACAGCCGACACCGGCCCCACGTTACTTTGATTGACGGCTGAACAAATGTTTCCCCTGTTCGAACGCCGGCGCCGCGGAACGCCGGCGATCTGCGGGCCCCGCCTCGGGCGGCGGGCGGGCGCGGGCGGGGAGGCGGCGGGGAGCCTGCTGATTGGCTGCGGGCCCGCGGCGCGTCGCGACCCCACGTGGGGGAGAGCGCGGGGCCGCCCCTCTGCCCGGCCCGCAAGCCCATTTGTCAGCGGCGGAGTGACGGGCATTAGAGCCGAGAGGCGATTAATGGCTGCCCGCCGCCCATTGGTCGCCGCCGCCGCCCTTCATGGGCGGGGCGCGGGGGGAGCGGCTGACGGCATCGCGGTGCTTGATGGGAGAAGTAGTCCCCGGAGCGGCTGCATGCAGGCAGCCGTGATGTCGGGAGGACTGCGACTCCCAGGGTGCCCCTCAGCGGCGGCCTTCCGGCTGCTGTGAATATGTATCAGAATGTTAATGACGAGCCGCTGCTAAATTTGGTCAAAGGAGTCACTTCGGCAGAGCGTGCTGTGGGAGCGGCGCGCAGCGGCGATCGGGCTGGACCGGGCTGGGCAGGACACGGCTGGGCTGGGCCGGACCACGCTGCGCTGACGAGCCGAATACGGGGCTTCGCTCCGCGCGTCGCCGCCGCCACCACCGCCACTTCCCGGAGTTTCGAAAGGCGCGGAGGGAAAAAGAGAAAAAAAAAAAAACCGTAAAATAAAGCTGCCCAGACCGTACCGTATTTTTAAATCTTTCTTGCTCTTTAATTTTTTTTTTTTTTCATTAAAAAAAACCCAAAAGCCGGTCGAGCAGCACGAGCGGGGGAGATGCGGTGCGGGCGGTAGCAGCGAAGACCGGACCGCCGCACAAAAGGGCACCGCACCGCACGCACCCCCGCCGCGGCAGCGGAGCAGCCGCCCGACCGCCGCAGCCACCGTCCCCGCCGGGGCTCCGCACCCCGCTCCGCCCGGCGCCGGGAGAGCCGCCGGCAGCTGCAGTAAAAGTTTTCAGGAAGGGAAGAAAACTGCCGGCGGGGGGAATCTCCGGTGGAGCGCGCGCCGGCGCCGGCGGAGGGGCTTTCCCCGCCCTCCTCCACCTCGCCCTCCGCCGCACGGGGCTCGCAGCCCGCCGGAGCCCGTGGAGAGGCGGCGGCGCTCGGGAGAACCGGCCGGCGTCGCCCGCTGACCGCCCCCGGGGGATGTGGCAGCGGCCCCCGAGCGTCGCGGACGCCGCCGCCGTCGCGCCTCGCTGCTGCCGGCGGTGCCCCGCCAGCCCCGGGGCGGCGGGGCCGGGGCGTCCCTGCCCGCCCTCTCCGCCGCCGCGCCTGCAGCCCTGATCACCGCCGCTCCGGCCGCCAGCGCCCCCCGAAGCGGCGTGGATGATCCGCGACCTGAGCAAGATGTACCCGCAGACCCGGCACCCGGTGAGTGGCGGCGTCGGCTCCGCGGGCAGCGCTCAGGCGCGGGCACCGCGGAGTTGTAGCCATTTTCTTATTGTTGTCCGCCGCGCCGCCGCCGCCTCCCGGGGTCGGGGTTGGCTTGTTTGAGTTGCCCTCGCCCGGTGCGTGGCGGCCCGGGCAGCAGCCCCGCGTCCCGCGGCTGCCGCCGGTGCGGAGGGTCCGAACGGGCGACACCTCTTCCAGCGTCTGTACCGTGCCGCCGGCGGACACGTCGGGGCAGCATCTCGGGGCGCTTGGGGCATCGCGCCTCCGCCCGCGGAGGAGCGGGGACCTGGGGGGCTGCGCTTCGGCGGAGCCCCAGTGAGAGGGCCGCGGCGGTGGACGGTGGCGGGCGGGAGGTGGTGACCGGATGAGAGGGGGCGATTAAAAGACCTGATGTTCCTTGCTTGCAGGCTCCTCACCAGCCAGCTCAGCCCTTTAAATTCACCATTTCAGAATCCTGCGATCGGATTAAGGAGGAGTTTCAGTTTTTGCAGGCTCAGTACCACAGGTAAGACTGCCTACTTTGTCCGAGCCCTGTGCGGTTTTTCCTCTCGCCGTTTTCAATGCCGCGCCGGCGGGGCGCGGGTGCGGGACCCCTGGCGGAACCGGGAGCGGGGCGGACCCACCCCAGTCAGGCGCTCCTCGCTGGCTCCTCCATATCCCGCTCCGCTCCGGACCCTGGGGATGAGGGGCTCCTGTGGGCCCCGAGCCGAGCTGTGGGAGCGGATTTTCTTGTTTTCCCTGCGTTCTGTTTTTGTTCGTGGCTTTTTTTCCCCCACCCCCCTTTTTTTTTTCTTTTGGTCTTTTTGTGTACTTTTGGATGCGGAGTGGGGGAGGGTGGGTGTTGATAGAAAAATATGTGTCTGGTTGGACTCATCCTTTGCTTTAATTCGAAACGCCGCTCAGGACAGGCATCTTGTCTTGGCTCGGCCCCCTCGCGCCTTTCATTGACATGTCAAGTGCTGATAACCTGGAAGTGAGGCGGCGAGCTGTTTTATTATCCTTAGGTGGAACAACGCTGTGTCCTCAAAGTGACAAGTGGCTTCTGGCAGGATTGTTTAGCAGGCTTCTGAAAACAAAATAAACACTGTAGGCGTTGGTATTTACCACGGTATTCGTTAAATTACACGCATATTCTACTTGCAGTTCTATGGCCAGTTGTAGAAAAGAGCAAAAATTCAAATCTGCAAGTTTTTCTTCTTGATGCGGCAATGTGCATTTGATCCTTCTGTGGGTCGAGTGTTTCTAAAACACCTAAATAAAAATTCTGAAACCCAAATTACGTTTTTGTTAGGAGCTTCTCAAGCTTAACTGTTAAAGATATGAACCCCTGCGTGTTTCTTCTGTGAACCAGTGTCACTGCTTAGCTTTTTTGTCAGAAAAATAATTTTCTGTGTATACCACCTGTATGTTTGCAGTTCTTTTAGGAGATGAGGATGTTGCATGGTATCCCTTGAAAATGAAAAGTGGAAACCCCCATCCTAAACTCCCAAGCAAGTGCTGGAATATGCATTTATATTTGGGTAGTGGAGAAATGTTTGAAAAGGGGACCAGCCGGTGCTCAAGAGAATGTCACTATAGTATTATGAAGTACCCATGCTTTTTCCTTTTTATCTCTTGAACAGTTTAAAGCTAGAATGTGAAAAACTGGCCAGTGAGAAGACAGAGATGCAGCGACATTATGTCATGGTAAGCAAACTGCATAACAAATTCAAATGCCTATTAGCCTGGTATACCGAGACTGACATACATTCAGATTGCTGGAGGGGAACAGGAAGATTGTAGTAGCGCTGCTGTTGTTGAGGTTGCATCAGTGATTCCATTATGAGTTTCTGGGGTCTTTTAACTTCTTTGCAGCTGTCAGTATCTGTGTGAATCTGGATTTTTAACCTTTCAAGCAATTGAGGATGTTTATTCCAAATGCTAGCAAATCACTTGTCAGCCCTTTCAAGCTGTGTGCAACTTCCATAGTGTACCTGGGGGTGATGTTTTCACTTTTGTTGACTTTTCCCAGTGGTCATATCTCTGTAAAATGGTTCTTGGTAATATTTTTTCCTATGATGGCAGTAAGACAAAATTGTACCTAAGTTCGTGCAAATCCAAAGTCTACTTCCTAGAAAAACTGTTGCTCCTCAGCAGCTGAATCATTGTTTCATTAAACTGAGAATGTCGGGGATCTCAGCTGTGAAAGGGATTTCCTCAGTTGATGTGGCCTGCCTGGTTAAATAACGTGCATAGAAAGACATCTCTAAATGGGTAATTGTGTGATGGATCATGATAACTCTAGAGGAACTCTTGCTATCTCTTTTCTTGTACATCTCTGAAGGATTAGCCGTTTTCCATATGCATATGACAAGTAATACTCTTGTATACATAGAAAGAGTAAATAACCTTAAAAAAATCTTAAGGGAGAGCACAAGCAAATTGTAAGGCTCACAGTTATCATTTTAATGCCTGATATGCCTGTGTCTTGGAGATTGTTTGGTATTAACATTGCACACTGAGCAGACTTCCCTGCAGAAATCGGGCACAGCAGGACAAACTTAGATTGGTGTGTCTGCTCTGGCCCTGAATTTCCGTGCTCTTTCCTCTTTTTTTTTTTTAATTTTTAAAAAAAAAATTTAATACTTGCAATTTAATTACAGGAATTTTGTGTTCTCTTTTTTTTAATTTAAAATATTGAATCGGTCTGTTAGACGTTGCTGATTTGTATATTTATTTGCTTGAAGCACTTTGGGTGTTTTTTTGGGCATTTTTTATGTGTGCTAGTGAATAGAATCTTCATAATTTTCTGTTTCTAATCCTTGACTCTGCTTGTGATTATCTTTCATTATTTTTTGTTGTATTTTTTTTGCCTTGTTTTACAGCTGTTCTTTTTAAATGTGACATGAAACAATGTAGGTAAAGAAAAAAAAAGTTTATTCTGAAATACGGTCTTGGCAACTCCAGAAACTCTTCAAGGCAAATTAATGTGTGTAGGTCTGTATGTCTTTGTACAGATGATGTTTCAGTCAAAGTGAATTACAAAATAGTTTTCACAATTACAAGGTCTAATAGAGTAATTTTCTTTTTTCTTAGTATTATGAGATGTCCTATGGGCTGAATATAGAGATGCATAAACAGGTAGGTAAAGAATTATTTTTGTTGTAAGAATGGTCTATATAATTTCTCCCATCAATCTTAAAACACACGTATTCTGTGTGATTTGCCTTAATTGCATGCTTGAGTGCATCAAAAAATTTTTTTCTTCATCTGACCCTGAATCTTCTGTCTCATGTTTGGTAACCTTTGTAACCTTTGTAGGCTACAGTCTTGTCTGCCAATTGTGCATTATTTGCTTGACTTTCCACATGCAGTGTTTGCACATGCAGGCATTCCTATACTTGACAGGGAGGGTGTCTGTGAGTATCGATGGTTTTGTGGGTTGTATCTTCTTTTCTATCTCGTCTCAGACATTTGGGGTTTATTTTTTGGGATATGTGTTTTAGGAAGAGGAGCGTGTGTGAAAAAAAATGCTTGTTTTGGTTAACCTTGACTGATTTAAGCTGGAGCTACAAATGCTGTTGATGTTTCCCTCAGGCTGCTTACTTGGACTTCTATCCAGAACCAGTATGTTAGCATCTCAAACACAAAGGAATAAGCGAGCTTTCTATGAGGATGTAAGCATAGAATCACAAAATGCTTTGGGTTGGAGGGTATCTTAAATATAATCTGGTTCCACCCCACGCTGCCATAGGCAGGGAACCTTCTGCTAGATCAGGTTATTCAAAGCTGTATCCAGCCTGGCTTTAAACATTGCCAGGGATGGGGCATCCTCAGCCTCCCTGTGCCAGTGCCTCACCATCTTCACAGTAAAGAATTTTTCATAACATTTAAACTAAACCTGCCATGTATTCAATTTAAGGCCATTTCCCTTTCTCCTATCACTACGTGCTCTTGTCAAAGGCCCTTTACAGCTTGCTTGTAGGCTCCCTCTAGATACTGGAGAGCTGCTATCAGTTCTGTACCTTGAACTCTAGCACTTAGGCCAAGATTAACAAGAGATTAGTAATTTAGAGCATGCTAGTGTAAATTAGAGTTTATTTGATAATGTGTGTTTTTTAACCTTCTCTAGAGGAGAATTAGTTGAACATCTGACCTCTTTTCCAGTGAGGGAACTTCTTATGTAGTGGAGTTTAATACTCACAACTCATTTTAGCAAATGGTTGAGCAATTTGCCAGCGTTACTGGGGAGTGTAAACTGCAGAAATAAAGAAATTATTGGATGGGAGAAGATCGCCCGAAAATTGGTTTGTATGCACTTTTGTTCAAAGCTAGAGATTTGCAGTTTCTCTGGTTGTATGGAGCCTTGTACATACAAGTTATTTTACAGACATACATAGATCTTTTGAATTCTGTGGGTCCTTCTCACAGTCTGATCTCACAGCAGATCAGATTGTATGCACATGCTGACTCTCTGGACCTGATCCTTGTCATGGTGGAAAGATTAGTCACTGACTCTAAGAGGTGTTGGGTCTGTTCTCAAATGAATATCCAGATTGTTTCAGTCCCATTAGAGTAAAACAAAACAACAAATTCAAACAAATCCTCAATCAGTAAAGCTATAGATATGGAAACAATTCACAAAGACAGGCTACCTATGAAGCAAATTCTTACAGGTCTTTGAAAGCAAGCATTGCAGTCACATTTGTTTGTATTTCTAGATACCCCATTTTTACAGTGGTGCTTTAGACTACACTGACAGCACAAAATTCTTTGCAAAAATATCAGCTTGCAAGTGCAATGTGTAATGAAATGGTATTAAGCAAGAGTAAAAAAGCCCACAGCAAAAGACTTAATTTCTAAACACTTTACTTCAGAAATTTTATACATTTATGGTGATGGAGACATCAGTGATACTCTGCAGAAATAAATACTTAGTGGCAACTAAGTGTGGAGATTACAAAGGACTGGGTTTTAATTGAACACCTTTTTCCATCACCATTAATTTTATTCAAGTTTTAAGTATTGTACTCTCATGCAAAACTCTGAAATATTTTGTCAGACGATGAATCAAATTAGTTGCGGCTAAGAAACTTGTTCACTTTCATTCTTAAATCTGATAGCAATTTCCTGTCTTTCATATCTCCCTTTCTATTGACACAGTGTTGTATTTTTCCTTTCTCCTCTTGCCTCAGCAAATGCAAAATATTATCATATTCCATTATGATCACAGTATTGCCATCCAGTTTGGTCTTTGTATAGATGGCATTGATTGCTTCATTCAATGTGTGCAAAGCTTTTTTAGTCTACCACCTTAAATTCCCTTTTCCTCCTCTCCCTTCTTTGAATTTCACTCGGCTGAAATTGAGCGATTCACCCTTTTTTATTTTCCTTCTCCCTTGCCCCCCCAACTTTCTAAATTCAATCATATAGAAAATCCTGAGGGCAGTTTATCACATTATGAAATACAGACAGCCCGGCAAACCACCTACTTATTATATTTTCTTTCTTTTTTTTCACTTTAGCACAGAGGCATATCTGTCTTTATTTGTTTTTCTGGGCAGACAGCCTTGGTTCCTCTCAGGTTCTTTTCCAGATGTACTCAATGGATGCCCTTGTAATGGAAAGCAGGCAATAATGCGGTGAAGTTGCCCTTCGGCGTAATTGGGCCTAGTTCTCAAGATCAGGTTAGGCTTATTCACTTATTAGATTTGCGTCTCAAAGGGTTCAAGAGCAGGACTCCCTGGAGTCCTTGGAAGTACCCTAGTAATTGGTGGCCCTGATATTTGAAACCTTTGTGTATTTTTCTGTTAAAGCTTCTGTTCTTCTTGGCTGCTTCCAGCCACAGAGTATTTATTTTTAGAGAAATTTTTCACTGGAACAGAAAATGATGTGTGATAGAGTCATGACTCTGTGACTTAGCAAATTGATAAAAGGATAAACGTGCAGAAAGCAGCAGCAGTGAGTGTGCCTGTGTGGCTGGGGGCAGAGATGGGGGAGGGGGGGCGGGGGAAGAGCATCTCTTTTCCCACCCCTTGTGTGATGCTCATCATCAGTCATCCTGTGTTGATTTTGATAGAAGACTATTAAAGTGAAACCTATGGGGAATTTGTCATTCTGAAAGGAAAGCTAATGTAATTAGTACCAATTAAAGTACATTTAGTAAATTGGATTTAATCTTAATTAAGCCTGCATAATGTTGCCAATTTTTAACAATTATGTTTGAGAACATAATTAATTTAAATTTTGGTAACTGAGTAAATAGCATTAGACTGGTAGAATTAGGCATTTGTAATTTTTTAAAAGACAAATGTAGGGTATGTTGTCACATGTGATGTTATAGCCTAATATACTAAGCTGATTTTTGATATTCTTTATTAGAATCAATACAGCTTCAAAATAGACACATTCTGGAGAAAAAAATACTGGATTAGGAATTTTGGGTTGCAGTATAAGCATATATGTCCCTACTATTAGAAATTTTAATATTAGCATAATGCTTGAGTGTGGTCTAAAGATGACCATTTGTTACTAAGCTGCCTTTTTAAACATTTTTAAGAGCCTCAGTTGATAGTTTATGAATGAATAGTTAATTGACTGATTTGTGTTTCTAACATAGTGTTGGTACTTGGAGGTGGTCAATTGGTTTAATTTTTGAAATTAGAGTGTTTTAATGTTATGGTAAACAATTTGTTTAAATTGCTGTAATCAAACACCCTTGCTGAATGTTTAATTGAGAATTGTAATTGTAAAATAAGTATCTGTATTTGGCTATAGACAAGAGATATTTATGAATGGGACTAATGGAAAGTATAAATAAGATACGGCATCTGTTTTTTACTTTGTTTCTTGGAGATGTCAATTCATAAATTCTTTTTTGCACTTTTTGCCTAGACCGTCATCTTTGAACTAATTAATATACTAGAATGTTGAATTTCAGCATTTTTGGAAGGAAAATTTAGGTCTTTTAAGAAGTTGGGTATTAAAAAATAAATGAAGTGGCTTTTTAAGATCACAGGGAAAAAAAAAATCAGTCCAATCCATGTAAATTTTATTACAAGACTTGGGTAGCAACCATTTGAGTGCTGCTAAAATATTAATTGGATAGAAATGAAAGGGTTCTGCTAGCTGATAGGATATCATAATCATAGCTGCAGTAGTCGATGGTAAATGATGATAAATGGCATTAGGAACCTTTTAGCAAGCTGTAATAACTACGAGGAGGGAAGCAGTATGGATTTGCATTATATCTGATACCCTCTAGTACCAAGTGGATTGCCAATACTGCTTGTTTAGCATTTTCTAAGGGCAATAGGATATTGATTTCTGTCTTACAAGGAATAGCTCTATTTTCACCATTGAAAAGTATTGCAGGTTGTTAAGAAGAAATTGACTTGAAGAGGCCTGACTGCTGCCCATCATGGAGCAAATAAAGCAAAACTGCCGAAGCATGGTGGAGCAGTGTGATGGGGCCCTCAGCAATTTGTTGCTATTAATTTACCATGCTCGACAGCAAATCAATCGGCATCTACTTCATCTGCTGGAGAAAATGCTGTCCAGGGCAGATAAAAGGCCCTGTGTGGTACAGGGAATAGACTGGATTGGCCAAACGGAGGCTGCAGTTAATGTGTAAATAAGTGAAATCAAGGCCACTGTTGCCGAGAAAGCTGTTTTTAATTAGGTTAGGGCTTTATAGTGAGCTATTTAAGACAGTAGTATGGAGAGTAAGGGGATATTTATTGCTGACTGAGTTAATATATGGGCTCTATGACATCCCAGCCTTTATTCTGCTTGCTTCTTAAGACTTAGTAAATTATTTCCCTATGGGGCTAAAAATGGGAATCAATTTGTTTAATTTAGGGAAGAATTTTGACTGTTTTTCATCTTCGTGGTGATAAAACACATACATTACAGAGAAATGATTATTGTATGCTCTACCTGTGCAACAGAAAAATACACTTCTCTTTCTTCTCTTTATTTTTTGGCAAAAACCTGGGCTTGGCATGAATACATGTGTGTGCATGTGTGGACTCTATTTTTGACACATTGAGTAGCTGAGTGTATGTTGTCTCGCATTTGAAAAATAGCTGGAAAGCCAACTAAAATTATACTGACTGAATTTGTTCTCTATTGTAAACAGT